TTCATATGAGAGGGTGCAACTAAGGAGATGCCTTCATCATTGATGGTGATACCCTCCTTCTCTTCTATGTATAGATAGTTCAAAAATGAGTGTATGAGAATGTGAACTCCTTTATGTTTGTATTGCTAGATTGTTGTTATGATTTCATATTATACTTGTGATTTTCGATACCCTATATGTATGCATGGATGCTTTATGTTTCGTTGCCTATGTATATGATATCGATGCTCATTTAGTTAAATACTTCTTATCATTCGATGCTAATGACTCTATAGGATACTACTATATGTATTGTGCTTAGTGTCATCTAGGTTATCAATAAAATACCATCTAGTGATACCCCATTAATGCTACACATCAAGTAGTATCAATGTTTGATTGTTAGATCATCGATGCTATAGACCATCGATTATGGCTCAAGAGTGCTACAATTCATCATTTGTTATCCTTTCTTGTTCTTAATTAATTAGGTGAGGACATGAAGCTAAGCGAAAGCACACATTATCTAATTAAATCCCTATCGTAAGAAGTGTATGCACGAGTAGGGAATGACCTTAGTGGAAGGGATAGAGTGATGTTATAGATAAGTCATTGACGCATGATATTATTGAGCCTTAGTATGCACAATTATACTCGAGTATAACTTCTTATACAATAATGTACCTTTACTTTTATGCATCTATAACTTGAAATGAAAAATTTACTTTTTCTTGCTTTGCTTTCCTTTGCTTGTTACTTGAATGAAAATCTCCAAAGATGCTTGTTTTTTTCGTGTGAGCATAGATGGCATGGTGTAAGTAGTTATGCATTAGAAGACCTAGTGGAATACGGCCATAGGACATCCTAGGCCTTTTATCACTTGCATGTTTACGACACATAAGTTTACATGGGTTGAATGCAACTTAACAAAGGCTTCCCTATCTTCTAAGTTGCGAGGAATCATGCAAAGCTAGCACCTAAGGCAATGCTCATGTCTCTTAGATGAGATTCTAGTAGACTTCTTGTCTTAATGGTCATGCAACCAACAATTCACTTAGAGCACTATGCCTAGACTCCTCCAATTGGGAACAAGCCCAAGGGTGGGGACTTCGACTCAATGGTCATGCAATTCAAATCACACTACTTGATGTATATTCTGATCTTTACCTAAGGGGATGGTCACTTCAACCTAGGTCAAGAACAAGGCAATAATCACTTTTACAAAAACAAGAGATTGACATGATTAAACATCAAATAGACATAGATATATAGGTTCACTATCATTCTTACAAACAAACCCATAAACAATCTACAAGTTAGGATTCATCTTCCTAAATAATAAGAGATGTTAAAACATATATATAGAGAGAGTGTACAGATTGAAACAAGAGCAACAAACCATGGCTAGATCCTTCTTCTCCTTCTTGATTTGGCCACCTAGTTTGAATCGTGCGATGTTTTGGGGTTAGAATGAGGAAGAAATCACACAAAATCTCTCCAAGATTGTCTCTCTCATTCTACATCTTCTCATAATTTGTTCCGCTCTCTAGAATGCCCACTTTGATATAAAGAATCCCTCTTCTATTTATAGACGGGGAAGGAGGAGATGACAACCTATGAATAAAAGTTCACAACCTGGATAATTTGACAGGGAAATCTGGGAATGATGAGTTCAAGGCACGTGGGAAAAAGTTCATGGCCATGAACTTTTGACAAGAGGCTGTGAACTTGAGTTCACAGCATGTGACCAAAGACGATTTGGACCTTTTTCTCGGGGCCGTGACCATGAACCTTTTATTATAGTATGGTTTGTCGTGGTCGCGAGATCTTCTATACTTGTTTTTGTTCGTCCTTTACTCCTTTTGGAGTTCTCGATCATGAAATGGAGTTCACGATTGTGAAATTTTGTTCCTGGCCGTGAACTTAACTCTGGTCTCCTTTCCACCTTCTCTTCACCCTTCAAATGACTATCGATTGGTATGAAATTTGGCACACTCATTCCTTATCATGCTAGGACCTAAGGTTAAGCAAGAATAAACCACATACCCTAGAATAGGATGAGAATGAACAAGTTTCAAACCAAATGACCAAGTGAGGATAAAAGTCATGCTAAATCTTAGAGTATGAAGATAGGAAGCAATTACAGCACACAATCAATCTCAAGTGGGCAAATAAGATTATTCTGGCGCACAAACACCTAAAAAATGAAAGGTTAGATAAAACCATTATATGTGTTATTAAGATATGATTGTATACCTTTATACTTACATAGGCCAAATAACTATGATTTCTACTCGTAAGAGAAAAACTTACAACTACCAACTATCATCATTAACATCAAAGTTTCGATTCGAGCTCAACTCTAAGATAATATATGAATTAAATGCCCTAATATTTATATGTCATATATGATACATGTGATTAACTGATCTTCATGTCATATACGAGACATATTTGCTCACATACTCAAATTATTAAACATCACATTAGGTGTGATGTACAATGTAATAAATATATGCATCATTAACAAACCAACTCATATGATATAGATCAATTTTCTTATAAGCCGCAAGCAAGTTGGCTCACAAGTTACAAAGTTGAGACATATCATGAGCTCAAAATGAGATAATTCATGAATCGAACTCAACAAGCCACCTTACCGAGCTAGTTCACGAGACTCACGAGCCGAACAAGATTGAGCTCAAGCTCGGCTCATTAATAAAAGAATCAAGCTTTTATTAAATCGAACGAGTTTTTATCGAGTTCGAGACCGAGCCGTTCGCGAACAACTTTGCTCATTAACAACCCTAGACGCCATAGAACCATGATATGGCACCATTGGTCGTTTATATTTTTCTGTAAATGAGCTAACGAACGATGAATTTGTAAAGGGAAAAGTGAAAGCGAAAGAAAGAGCAATAAACTTAGGAGTCGTTTGGAAGTTGCGAATGTTAAATTGTTGTATTGTAATGAATCGCTACAATATAAATACATGCATTGATACAATAGATGCATTTTGACACTACATTGTTTGGTTATTGAGATTCTAGTTTATGTATTGATTTGCATAAAATTACTTTATAGGTAAATGTCACATTTACCCTCATCTTTTAGTATAAAACAAAAAATATTGGGGATATAAATGGAAAGAAAGAGTGGACACAAATCTAAAAGGAACAATCATAACAATCTCAACTTTTAGTTGAGATTGTATAAGGCACCATTTTTTGTAATTGTTGGTAGGGTCTACACAAAACAATACATGCATTGTTTTACAACTTGACACTTCCAAACATTGTATTGTGCATAATACATGTATTTAACAAACACAACTTTAACAATTACAACTTCTAAACGACCTCTTAATCAATATTCTCCATAACCTTAGAAATTAACTTTTATTTCATACACACATTTATATGAATTGACTTCCTCTGTGCCAAAGGTAACACAGCCTAGCGGTGAATCCACTGGTCTGGTTGGCTCAGGAAGTGGGAAGTTCTGAGTTCGATCCCCAGTGGCGCCGCTTGTGTGTTCCCGGAGGCATCCTTGGTACCGGAGACAAAATCTCTCAATGTTGGTAGCATAACGTTGTGGTTACTATGCAGGTGCCCCCAAATTTAGTAGGTCCCGCTGTCACTAATGTGACATGTGGGGTTCAGCTTCCTAGGTTAAAAAAATTTGACTTCCTCTGTTGCTCCTAGTCGAGCAGCGCTAGTGTTGAAACCTATTCCAAGTAGAACAAAAGAACATTAGTGACTAATAATCAATGTCTTTTTTTCTTTTCTCCTATCATTTAGTCGTTTGAATATTTAATAAAAATGTTCATTTAGTAACAGAATAAGCTCTTTCATCGCTAATTTTATCCATTTATCAACTACTAAATACAGTTATTAAAAATTTATTATAGCTTACTTCTATTTACATCACCTTTCTGAGTATCTATGATGGGTGGAAAAAGAACTCCCACCATATTATAGACAACATTATACAGCTGCGGCGCCTACACTAATATAATGTGGCAGTCTCCACTGTTGTTTTTCGTTTGTTTATTTGTCATCTTATTTTACCCTTTGGAGATGCCACAAGAGAAGATGATGAGAAAAGCCGACAAGGCATGTTATGACTCAGACTCCATTCATTGTTTTAGAGTAAAGAGACACTCAACATGCTTGCACACGAGCTCCCCAACTGCATACCTACCTAGCCTTCTCTCTTCGCACAAAACCTTTTTCATTTATACTATGCTTCCTTTCGGTGCCTATGGCTAACTAATTATATCCGCTTCTGATTACTATATCTTGCGTTGCTCTCATGCATCATCTCATCTTCCATTCCCGCTAAATAGAGTACATCAACATTGTATAATACATTGTACGTGTAAATTGTAATGCTTTTTTTATGGATGCATTATACATGTAACGGTTTGAAATTTGGATAAACTCATATTTAGATTGATCAACTGTCAGTCGTCATGAGCTATGTCTCGAAACCAACCACCAATCATCTACACCGAGTACCCTATGAACCACCTCACACTTAAAAAGCGAAGAATCAAGATAATTAACAAAGTTTGGAAAGATCAATATAGAGTTAGAGTGTGTTTGTATAGAAGGATTTTCATTTGGTATTTGTGATTTGGATTTATAAATGTCAAATCATTTATTCGAATATTAATTGCATTTGTTTTCAAAAACTAGTGATTTGAAATTCCTCCTAACAAAAAATTGGACTTATTTCTAAAATTTTAGAAGTTCAGGTACTATAGTGTGAGGCAAAACATATAAAGGTATCAAAATCAAAATTTACCACCAAACTTTCTGGACCTTTTTATAATATTTTAAAAATTTAGGTACTAAATTGTTAGAAAAAATAATTTGGGTACCAAAATTTAATTTACCAAAATTTATAGTAAGTGACCATGAAATTCAAAATTAAAATAAAAATTATAAAATATGAAATACAAAAAAATTATAAATGAGTATATAAACAATGAATTTAAATTAAATGTAATTCAAATACTAGTATTTCAAATACACTACATTTGAAATACACCTATCCAAACGCAGCCGTAGAAGTTTCGTTAGCGGTAGGTGTGAGTAAGTTGCGAATCTATGCTCTGCTTGGTTAGGGTTAGGGGGGCGTCATCGTCATCATTTGAGTACAACTGGGAATGCACTAGGTAGCTAGCTAGCTAGGGTTTTAATTTAGAAAATGAAAAGGGAAAGGAAGTTGGTTGATGATGACCGTATGCAGCCATGCCGTAATTGTATGCATGCGACGTCCACCGGACAGTACAGATGGAAGTGCACTACCATCTCGTACTCTAGCTAATCATCAATGTATATATGACCCACGTACAAAAAACACCAACCCATTTTCGTACCCTTTGTTATCATATTAAATTTGCAAGAAAAATTTTATTCTTTGTAATGATTAGTGAATTTTAGTGATACATATGGAAATTTGGGTTTCATTTCTAACAGTCACATAGAGACTGAAGACTGCATGAAGACTGAAGAGAGGATAATATTGGGATATTTGAGAGTTTGTAGATTCAATGGTATTAGGGATCGAATTTGATGTTACATACTATAATATAGGGGAAAAGTTATTGGTGGTCATTGCTTTAAGAGTAGATCTAGCCAGGGAAATTCTTAAATACTGGGAATTTTTTATATATCTGCACCATATTAGACGGTGTAAGAGTTTGAACTTGAGACTCGTGTATTATCAGAGTAAGTTGTATATGTGTTAAAAATAACCTAGAGGATAAAATCCTCTGGATTCGTAATCCCTATGGCTCTTCTCTTCTAGTTTATACAAGTTCAACATGTTAAGTAAAAACACTAAGTTTGTGCTAGAAGTGGCCTTCAATTCTTGCTTCTATTATTCAGATAACAAAGGAAGCAAAGGATTGTGTTCAAGAGGACAAAATATTTTCTATGCTAAGTATTTCTCGAAGTTTACTGGCATGCCAGACTATCCATTCATACAATTGCTCGAGTTCATTCCAGTTCACTTGACTTATCTAAATTTCTATGGATTTATTAGATTTAGTTTGCTATCAATGTACTTCAACAATGAGGAACCAAATGGATTAATGATGACTTGACTAACTAATCATGATTTCTCGTCTCAACTGATTAACCGGTTCCAGTGTTTGGTGATCTAAGAAGCCAAAGAGACTATTTCTAGATGCCTCTATAATTTACGACATATTTATTTACGTACCACTGTATACCTATTTTTACCCTTATTATTGATCATTCTTGGGCATTTATCTTGAAAACACTATCTTCTTATTCTATTTAATGCTAAGTTTTGTTCTTTCGACATATTTCAGCTGCTAGCACGTGGTGAAGGCTTAGGAGCGAGTTTCTCAGTCATGTGACTGTAGGGCGGACTATGGCTCGAGAAGAAGTATTGAACTAATGAGTGAATTCAATAATTTGATCAATACTTAGGCTCTCATGGATCTGCCTCTGGGCGGAAGCAATTTCACATGGAGTAAAGGTGGTAACAGTGCGACTATGTTGCGAATTGATCGTGCTCTTATAAGCACGGAGTTTGACTCGCTTTTCCCCGATTGCACTCTCTCTGCCCTTGAGAGGGTTGATTCGGATCATAATCCGCTTTGGATTAAGTGGGGCGATGATAAGAGGATTAGGAGGCCATGGCGATTCGAGAACATGTGGTTAAAGGATGAAAGTTTCTTTGCCAGCCTGGACTCTTGGCTGTTTGATCTGGTTGCTGGGTCTGGGTGTATTTTTTTACTGTATAGGATGCTTCAGCAGATTAAAAAGAGAATTAAGGTCTGGAACAAAGAAATATTCAGGAATGTCAATGACAAGGTTGATGATCTTTTGAGGCGTATCAAGGCTGTTCATTTGATAGAAGAAATAGCCAACTTACTGATTCCGAGAGAACTTAGAGGGGAACTTCAGAATGCTCTTAATTTGCAGGAAATTAGATGGAGACAAAAATCCAATGAGTTGTGGCTGAAGGGTGGAGATCTCAACACCAAGTTTTTCCATAGAGTTGCGAACTACAGGCGCAAACTCAATCTCATTGAGTGTATTAGAGTTTATGGCAGGTTGCTGGAGGGGAGGGAGGAGCTTGCTGCTGGTGTGGTAGGTTTCTACCAGAACTTGTTCAAGGAGAGCTTAGTTTACATACCGTTCCCCAAGAATTATGGCCAACAGAAGCTATGCAACACTTTGGCGTCTGATTTGGTTAGGCCTTTTAATGAAGCAGAGGAGTGGGCCGCCCTGGAATCCTTTGATGGTGGGAAATCTCCCCGGCCTGATGGTTTCACCTATGAATTCTTCAAGAAATGCTGGTTCCAGCTGCGTTCGGAGGTGATGCAGGCTTTTGAAGAGCTTCACAGGACATGTACCCTCCCTAAAAGCGTCGCACATTCTTTCATCTGCCTGGTTCAAAAGAAGGATGCAGTTGAAGATGTAAAAGATCTGAGACCCATTAGCCTTATGAGGAGCTTTAATAAGCTCTTGAGCAAAGTGTTGATAGTGAGAATGAGCCCTTTCATTTCTTTCCTTGTTTCTGACCACCAACATGCCTCTGTCCGAGGAAGGCAAATTTCGGAGGTAGGCTTGATTGCTAATGAACTCATCGATAGCAGGCGTAAGAGCAAAAAGCCTGGTCTTATGTTCAAGTTGTATCTGGGAAAGGTCTTCGACAATGTGAGCATGGATTGCTTGTTTAAGATTCTTTCGAGCTTCGGTTTTCCTCTCAAGTAGAAGCTGTGGATTGGGGGGGTCATGTGTTCGCCAGCTATTTCCATTCTCGTCAATGGCGAGTCTCATGGCTTCTTTTCTAGTTCAAAGGGTCTTAGGCAAGGCGATCCCCTCTTCCCTGGCCTCTTTGTTATGGTTATGGATGTGGTTTCTTTTATGTTGGGAGCCCAGATGCATCTTAATACCTCGGGTTCCCGCTCGGGGTGCGACCGAACTCTGTTTCAATTTGGGACTCGATTGGGAACGACGTGCAGCATCAGCTTGAATGTTGGAAGGGCAAAATGTTTTCTTTTGGGGGACGCCTTACTCTTAACAGCAGTTGTCTTAATAGCCAGATTGTTTACTATTGTTCTCTATTCCTTGCTCCTAGGATGGTCACCAAGAGGATTGAAAGGCTGCATAAAATGTTCATCTAGAGTGGTACCAGTGAGAAGAAGAAATTTCATTTGGTTGGATGGGATTTGTGCAAAGCCTCCAAGAAGAATGGGGGTATTGGGGCACTCGACATTAAATATTTTAACCAAGCCATGTTGTGCAAGTGGATTTGGAAGTTCGCTGAAGAAAGAGGAAGATGGTGGCGTAACTTGATTGTGATTAAGTATTCTGATGGTTCATCTTTATGGCATACTGGCTGGAAAAGGGTGAGAAGAAATAGCTCGGTTTGGGTTAACATTTTGAATATGTTCGATGTTTTCTGGAATCATGTTTGTATTGATCCGGGTGGTGGTGCATGGGTTTCTTTTTGCCACGACTGTTGGATCCCGAAGACCATTCTCGCTGACTCCTTCCTGCGTATCACTACTGCCGCCCTCAGTCCTGATGCTTGGATCTCCGACATTGTCTACCGTTCAGGTGAGAGTGTTAGGTGGGAGTGCTGGTGGACTTGCTATTTGATGGGCAGCAAGAGTCTCAATCCAAATTTTGGATCGCGGACAGAATTTCATTGATGTATCTGTCAATTATGGTTGTGGACCTAGGGGTGGGATTCGGTCGGTAAACAATTTACCGTTTACCGAATTTACCGGTTTAGGTATACTCAAGTTGGCCAAACTGGTTACCGATTACCGATACCGGTTTGTAATCGGTTTACCGATTACCGAATTACCGGTAAACGAGGTTACAAACCGGTATTACCGAAATACCGTGAGAAGCGATTTCGGGCGATTTTTCGGTCGGTTTACCGAATATTTACCGAACCAAATTTCTGGAAGTGGGGTGATGTTGTAATATTTTGATTTTTTTGAGTTTTTTCATTATTTTTATAATTAATATTTTATTATTAACTCTTATTTACAATATTTTTGAGGCCTATACTTACATTCATGTATGTAATATTTTATATTTTTTTGGGGTAAAGCTACAAAACGCAGTGCAGCACTAGGGAGTAGGGAGGGGGGATTCGGTATCGGTAATACTGATTTACCGTCGGTATTTACCGATACCGTGTCCGGTAAACCGACTCCCCCAACTTACCGTTTACCGTCGGTTACCGATTTGGTAAAACGGTAAACCGTTTACCGGATTACCGTTTACCACCCCTAGGTGGGACCTAAACTTGAGGGTTTCTCTGTGTGTGTGTGTGGGGGGGGGGGGGGGGGGGGGGGAGGGGGTGGCTGAGAGGGAGAGAACTTGTTTGATTGACTTCTTAAATTCTGATGCTTCTGGTAGATTGGCCTTTGGTCCCCTAGTATTGGGTGGTCGCCAAACTCAGATTATTCTCTCTCTGATCGCTCTTTATACAGGTACTTGACGTTATCACAATTTCCGGGCGTGCCACATTTTCCGACTGGGGCAGTCTAAAAGGCGGTCGTCCCTGTGAAGATTTGTGGCTTCATATGGATCTGCTTTCATCAAAAGATCCTCACCATTGACAATCTTAAAAGCATAGGCTGGGCGCTTGCTAATAGGTGCGAGCTTTGTCGGAGGGACGAGGAATCTGTTAGCCATCTCTTTGTGGATTGCGACTTCACCAAGAAAGTCTGGAGCGGCATCAATTCTTTGTGCTTAGGTATTCAAGGTCCGGTTAATGATATCGTCTTCGCGGTTTAGGGACCTTCGCGGTTTAGGGACCTAAAAATTAAATGTGTTAGGGACCTTCTTTTTAATGCATTTCACCCTTATTAAAAAAAATCGAAAACCCTACTCTGTGGTCCTTCACGGTTTAGGGACCTAAAAATTAAATGTCACGAAACCAAGTTGTTGAATTCACTGGAAAGTGCTAATCACCACTTTAATTAACAACAAAATCGGATTAGCTTTAAATTTCATATTTAATCATTAGACTTTCGGCTACAATGTGTGGAGTCTGGACAACCCATGCATATGTCAAAAGAGCTAGTCGTCAGCTTCCCGATCATATTCCATCTGTCCTCGTATAAACTAGGCTGGATCAATTTAACAAATCAATCACTAGTAGTTGATTCCGAACAAATTTGAGACTGAAATTTTATTAAAACATTCGTTAGAAATTCAAAGTTAAGTGACGCTTTATGAAATTGACTCCAAACCTAAGGTATCAATTCATCATTTTTGTTTTCCTTTTTTAATGCTTACTAGTACTGGTTCTTTGTTGTGTTTTTAGGATTTTTAGGATGGATTCTGTGGTACAGGCACGGTACTAGTGCCGGCAGTTTTTAAGCCGTTGGATTGGATATATTTAATGGAGGTCGTTGATTAATAACCACCATTAAACAAAACCGGTTAAACCTATTATATGTAGAAACCAGCTGAATCTCGTTGCCCTCGATATCATCATCACCACGATGGCTGAGGGTGTGATGGCTGAGGCAGAGACAATGGTGATTATGGTCGAGCGGCGGCAAGAGAGCTTATGGCGAAGGTGATTCCGACTGACGGGGATATGGGATCTGTGTGTGATGGCTGTAAACGACGATGCTAGAGGTGACAAGGTAGCGACTTCAACATACGTAAGTTTTCATGCATCTCTCTGGCGGCTGGAGCACCCGTCTTCCTCACCGCGTCTCCTTTCCAATAGAATGTCTTGCACCTCGCTCTGACCTAATAAGAAGGTATTTGCAAGTGTCGAGTTCAGATCCATTTCCTGCTTCAGTTGACGGCATGGTCGCTGACATTTGTGTTGGTGCTTGCACCGATAGATCCTACTGTTTCGAAAAAATCACGGCGGCGGAGTCTTCCTTCACAGTGAAAGGAGAAAGAAACAAACAAACAAAAGAACAAATCAAAGGGTCGTTGATTTTTTTCTTCTTTTTTCTTCTTTCTTGTGAATTCTTCGATAAAACAAATTCAACCCAAATCAGCCTTGGGTAAACCGGCCAGCTAAGTTACGACATGGGTGCTGTCACGGCACCATAGACTTCCTCATTTTTTAGAGCACTTCTACTATAACCGCTGTGAAAAATCAATACGCAAAAATATCAGTTGCATGCAAGAGCTAGAACCTCTTCCTTCTCTTTCATCATCTTTTCTCTCAGTTTATTCAATATCCATATCTGGATTTCCATATGCTTTCTTCGATGAAGAAGCTTTTTCAACATCCTTAGGTCTACTAATGGAGAAAAATTCAATTAAGAGGATATCCTCTGTGAAGGATCTCATCAGGAGTAAATGTTGCAGCAACCATACAGATGGAGCTACTTCTTCTTATACTCTGCCAAGTTTTAATGCTACTGTCCTTCAAGATCTGCAGGGGAATGAGATTCAGTTCAACTACTCTGTCTCCATCTATTCAATGTAAAATACCATAATGCATCATATTCTTCTCACCATGTCAGTGACTAGAACAAGGAGAAGTAACCCAAGCCTTTTTCGACCGCCAAAAATAGAACCAAAATCTCACCCCTGTTGCAAATCCCTCGAGCCATAAAAAGAGTTAATGGCGGAAGGACATCAAATCTCACCAGTCCACTGCAAGCCTTTAATGCTTGGGTTGATGGAGAGCCTCAAATATTATTTACTTAGGTCACCCTCCCTCTCCCTCCAAACACACATCCCACCACTGAAACCAAACCAAACCCATAAACTTAGCATAGACCCACTCACTAGATCTGCTAAGATGAATAACGCAGGGATGAATCACATCGGGCATCATGATCCACAATGGGAAGAGGAAAACCACGAAGCTGTCTTCACAGACGAAATAGCCCAAGATGTCGGGTAACAAAATCTGAGATTGGTGGGCAAGCTGTTCTGTGAAAGGGAGGTCTGATGGAGAGCCTTGTTGGGGATGATCAACAGTGCTTGGTCACATTTCTGCGAGCCGGAGATCCAAGAAGTGTCTAAATCTTAGAATATTTTCATCTTCATCTTTACTACGAGGGAAGAAATGGAGCAAGCTTGGGAAGGCAGACCTTGGCAGCTTTCAGGGAACATGCTTCAGCTCAAACATTAGGACCAGAACACACGCTCCCAAAATCTTGATTTCAATTTGGTTGATTTTTGGATCCCGGTGCATGGAATTCCAGACCATAAGACGACCATTTCAAATATTGAAGCGACAGTGGCAATGTTCAAGACGTTCCACGGTGTTGATATGAGGGGGCTGAACCCGGATTGATACATGGAATTTATAAGAGTGTTAATTCAAACTGATATCACTAGGCCACTCCCACCAGGATCTTACTGCTCAACCGGCGGAGTTAGGGATTGGCTTGGGTTTATATATGAAAAATCGTACATCCTCTGCTACTATTATGGGAGGCACGACCACTGCAAACAAGAATTCCCAAGAAGGAATACAGGTTTGGAGGCACATATGGCAGGACCAGCAGAAGGCAGGTTTACTACCTGGATGAAGGCATGCACCAAATAACCGAGGATATGTTCAGTATCAGTTGTGGATCTAGCAGTGAGGCACCGGGATATGTTCAGTATCAGTTGTGGATTCCAAGATGAGGATCTCCGGCGACTGGATCCATTAATATCGGATCACCATCCACACCAACAACCGAGGACGGTTTTATGCACGGGATACGAGGTCCATCAAGGTTCACACCACACCCTTTTCCATCTGGGTACGCAAGCCCGAGGATGGTTTTGGGGCCCTCACACCAACAGCTACAATCCCCCCTCCCCCCAGTTTGTCAGAATTTTGAGATCTATGGAGCTATTCCTCCGTACTCACCAACGGGAAAAACCTAGGCTGTTGCTTCTTCGACAGTGAGGAACCTAATCGGGGAGATGGAAGCGGCATCAAATTGGGACCACTATCCAAATCAGAGGTCTCAATTAGTTGGTGACTTCACAACCCATGACATCCAGGCCCACGCCTCGGGCTATTACTCCCAATCCCATCCAAGCAACATCAATTAGAAGAATATTGGGATGCCATCTCAACATAAGGTATCACAAATGCTTAATGGATCTCAGCAAAAAGCCTGTAGAGATGGATATGATGTATTCGAGCCATAGGAATGAGGAAGGCCAAGCTGAGCACAAAAAGAGGAAACATGGGAAACCTTTAGATTTTGAAGGGCCATATTTCACTCCAGGAAAAGATTCCAATAACAACCAAAATGCTAGAATTAAAGGGAAAGGAAGGAAGCCACTGCTTCGTTCTAAAACAAGAGATAAGGAAGGAGTTGCAGAGCAGGAAGATCAAGACCAACAGCAGTATCAAGTAACTTCTGAAGTGCCAGTGGCCGACAAGAGGCGACTTGGAGCTGAATGAGTTGCCTAAGTTTAAACTGCTGGGGAATTGGGCAACCTCGGAAAGAGAACCATCTCAAAAGGATGGTGATAAATTCCGCCCATCTTTGGTGTTTCTGATGGAGACTAAGAACACCAGAGAGACTATAGAAGTTCAAAGAATCAGCAACAATTTTCTTTGGGGAGAATGTCGAACCGGAGGGGACTGCTGGTGGACTTGCTATTTGATGGGCAGCAAGAGTCTCAATCCAAATTTTGGATCGCAGACGGAATTTCATTGATGTATCTGTCAATTATGGTTGTGGTTTCTTTATTACTTTTGTTCATGCTCCTACTGTCTCTAGTGAGAGAAGGGTCTTTTGGGAGAGGGTGTAAGGTTTTAGGAGTGATCCAAATGTACCTTGGGTTGTTATTGGGGATCATAATGCCATTTTTTTCAACTATGAGAAGAGTTGAGGACACCCGCCAAGGAGGGACTCTGTGGAACCATTCAAATCCTTCATCTTCAACAATAACTTAATTGACATGGGCTATAAACGACCTCATTATACATGGTCGAATAAGAGAAGAGAGATCGGTTGATCAAAGGCAGGCTTGATCGAGCTGTTTGCTCACCCGCTTGGCAGGATTTTTTTGAAGAAGGGACAATGTTTCATGAGGGTGATGTCGGATCAGACCACATGGTGCTCCGTTTGGAATTCCATTCTCCAGCACCATGGAATCGTCCTCCTTTTGGATTTGATGAACGATGGTTGGGGAAGGACGACTGTGGCCAGGTGGTTCTCAATGCCTGGGCGGCGGAAGGAACACATTATCAACATTTCAAGAGATGTGCTGATGACTTCAAACAATGGGCGGGAAGCATGATTGAGGCCCAAAACCATCGAGAAGCAGAGATCAAACATAGTCTTGAGACACTGGCTCAAATGTCCCGGTATGAGGAGGTTTGTGATGAAGAAACTAGTCTGTTGAATGAACTGGACGCTTTATGGAATGATGAGGAAATCATGTAGTGCCGACGATCCGGAGTCTAATGGCTTGCAAAGGGAGATAGGAATACAAAGTTCTTTCATACTTCGGCGGTTTACAGGAGACACAAGAAACAGATTTTGGGTTTACGAGGAAAGGATGGGAATTGGATCAAGCAACCAGATTTGCTTTCAGCCCCTATTCAAGATTTCTATCAAAATCTCTTCAAAGCAAAGTATGTTGGTTTTGATGGCTACCTCGTGGATGATTTCCATCGGCTTGTAATGAATGAAATGAATGAATTATTGTGCAAGCAAGTGACGAGGGAAGAAAGTAAGCAAGTTGTTTTCTACTTAGGACCAAATAAGTCCCCAGGTCCTAATGGTTTCTCAGGGGCATTTTTCTGGATGTTTTGGACTATGGTTGGGGAGGACTTCTACAAGGAAGTCATCTCTTTCTTTGATATGACTTTTCTCACCCCAGGGTGGAATGATACTCATATTGCCTTGATCCCAAAGGTGCCTTCCCCAGATAGAGTGGGACAATTTCAGCCCATTAGCTGTTGTAATTTCAAGTTTAAGGTGGTTTCTAAGATTATGTCAACAAGGATCAAGTCATGCATGCCACATTTGGTGTCTGAAATGCAATCAGCATTTATTGGGGGAAGGATGATTCAGGATAACATTGTCATTGTGCATGAGATCTTACATCACTTCAGGAATCGTCGTCAGGGACAACGGTATGATATGATGATGAAGATGGATATGAGGAATGAGTATGATTTGGTCGATTGGAACTGCTTGATGAGTTGCTTAAAGCCTACGGTTTCAACCAAGCTTGGTGCGGATGGGTTAGAGAGTGTTTGCGAACTGTTCGATTTTCCATCCTTCTCAACGGCGGACCTACTGAGCTCTTCACTCCTTCCCGTGGATTTCATCAGGGATATCCTCTTTCTCCATTCTTGTTTATCCTCATGTCTAACGCTTTATCTTTCTTGATCGATAAGTCTCTCTCTCGGAATTCTATTCATGGACTTAAAATGAAGCCTAACTGTCCTCGACTCTCTCACTGTCTTTTTGCAGATGACACTGTGATATTTGGTAAAGCATCTAGAGAAGAGGCAGAGGCAATTATGAGCATTATTAATAAGTATAAGTCGTTAATAGGACAAGAAGTCAATTTGGAATAATCTTCAGTTTTCTTCAGCAAGAACACCTCGACTGATTTGAGACAAAGCATTACATCACACCTGAGTTTCCCATCATCTATCTCTCATGAAAAGTACCTTGGTGTTCTAACGGATTGGGTTCGTTTGACTTAGGAAACTTTCTCCTTTCTTATAGAGCGGATGGAGAACAAATCAAGTTCCTGGAAGAGTCTCACTCTTTCGCATTGTGGAAAGGAGATTTTACTCAAAGCTATCATTCAAGCTATTTCGACCATTCTCATGAGTGTGTTTCTTTTACCTACCTGCCTGACAAAGAAGATAGACTCCCTTCTGCATAGATATTTTTGGTCGAGATCAATGAAGAAGAAGTCCATTCCATGGAGGAAAGGGGAAGTGCTTACTTATTAAAAGGCAGAAGGTAGACTTGGTTTTCAGAACTTCCACATGTTTAATCTTGCTCTTCTTGCCAAGAAGGGATGGAGGCTTATCAATGAGCCTGATTCTTTATGGGCGAGCGTCCTAAGAGGTCTCTATTTCCCCAATGGTGATTTCTCAAGTGTGCGTAAAGGAAGTTGCCCATCATGGATTTGGCCAGTTTGTGTGATGCTAGGAAGGCGTTGGAGATTGGCACGATAAGTCATTGGTATGGAGATGATACCTGGTTTCATGGTGACCCATGGGTCCATTCCCTCAACAAACATAGGATTTCTTCTCGTTTGGATCTACCATCAAGAGTTAGAGATTGGATGAATGATGATGGGACAAGTTGGAACCTTAATCTTATTCAACGTCATTGTACAATAGAGGAGGATAATGCTATCACAAGAATCAAAATGGGTTTGGAAATTTACAAATGATGGATCTTTCTTGGTTCGTTCAGCTTACCATGGACTTCGCCTGAAAGCCAAATAATAAAGTACCGCTGATATGGCGGCTTTGGACCTCAATCTCCCAAATTTTGATGATTGATGGTAGTGGCTTTGGTCGCTCGATATCCCATCGAAGATCCATTTTTTTATGTAGAGATGTGTTAGGAATGCATTGGCCACAAAGTTGAATCTGTTCTGACGTCGGTGTTCGCCCAATTCAAAGTGCCAATTGTGTGATGCCGAGGTTGAAACTGATATCCATTGTTTGTTATTGTGTCCTCATGCAAGGGCTACTTGGGAGAAGTTGGTGCCAAGCATGCTTCTTCTGCAAAATTTGTCTCACTGGATCTTTGCATTGAAAGAAGCGGATTCCCCAGCGTCGATTCGCCAAAAGATTTTCTGCTTGTGGAACATTTGGAAGGCACGTAATGAATTGATCTTCAGAGGAGTTGTCTTGTCCCCGATGACACCTCTATCTATTCTTTTAGAGATGCGGCTGAACCACCCTTTGATGTCGGTTCATCTACCTCTTACCATTCTCGAGACATTCCGTTACAATCATGTCCACCGCCGGTTCTTTATCACAGAAGAATCTATTGTGATGGTTCGTTTGATTACGAATCCCCTGAGGCGACCATTGGAGTTGTTATTACAAACTCTAGCGGTCAGATTTGTGATGGAACAGCGAAGAGGGTTATTTGTTCTTCTCCAATCCAGGCTGAGGCATGTGCATTGCTCGAAGTGTGTCGTCTGTAAGCAAATGAGACAATTCCTTCTACAATCCTCTCCGACAACAAGATACTGGTTGATGCACTTCATGAAGATCCCTTGAAATGGTCGTGGTGTTGCTATGCATTGCTTTCTTCTATTAAAGCCATCTTATGCCAATCGAGTTGGGTTAATGTTTCTTTCACCACCCGTAGCAATAATAGGAACGCCGATTGGTTTGCCCGTAATTGTAGATAGAAAAACCTTCACCTATAATGGCTTTCTGTACTTAAAGTTTTATCTGATTGTTGCTGTAAGATCTGCCTTAAAGGCTTGGAATGAATGAATACACCACAGATTTAAAAAAAAAAAATACTATGCTATATTGCATAGGTGATTTAATGTACAACTTGAAGTGTACCATAACGTCAAATCTATAAGTTCAGAAAGTACAGTAAAAGAATTTGTAACCTTAAATTTATGGTAAAATTTTACAATTTAAAGTTGTACCGTCACTCAGAGGTACAAGTTAAAGTTGTACCATAAAAGATTTGTACAAAAGAGTATATGTACAATCTGAAGTTTTATCATAACGTTAAAAGTACAACTTTAAGTTGTACCATAAGGACAAAAACCTATATCACCAATGATATATAGCATTGTAAAGTTTATCAGTTTTGTAATGTTGGTATTGAATATTGATGTTTCTATAGTGATACTGATTTTTGTGGTACTAATTTTGTCAGGCGGTTGGAATTAAGATGAAGCAAGAAGAAGAAGGCTGGAAGACAGCAAAAAGGCAATCGGAGAAAGACATAGAGGAAGAACTAAGACAAAGATAGGGACTTGAAAGAGGGAAAGATATAATTTATCAAAAATATATTTTCCAAAAATATAATTAATATGAGTTTTTCATTTTCTAAAAATGTAATGTAATTAATATTAGTTAAAATTTTAATACCTAATATGCCTTGATTTGCATATTGCAAACCTCATATTAGGGTTGCACCGTATCTACTTCTATGATTGGGCCTTTCCAATAAAATTCAAGGGCCGAAGCTAGGGATGAAAAAACAGACACAGCCTATGGGTTCACCCCGAGCCACCCATGTTGCGATAGGTCATGTCCGGTCTGTTCCTAGACGGGACGTTTTTTGACCCACTACAGGTCAAGCCAGGTCTGGGTATGAAGCCCACCCAACGCCATATCTTTTTCAATATATATCTTGTACCAACCCCAAACACCCATAGATCTACGCGTAACCAAAAAAAATTAATTCTTTCTCCCGTGTCGCCTCATCTCCTAGACTTCACCCAGAATTCACATCCCTAAACACTAAGAGCTAGCACACCATGAGAGAGTAGGAACACATCACCAATGATACAAGCATCTATGGTGAGGCTCTCTTCGTCGAACTCCATCAGGGCTTCACATTATCTCCTATGGATCTCTATCTCGTGTCCCTAGTGAGAGTGCTGGTACAAACGTATCTCTAAAGGTTTAACATTTGCCTCTATTTATAGGACATGATAGAGTGGGAATCCTAGAGTTTTTTGTCCTAAACGTCGGTGAAATACATCCTTGTACGAGTGACACTCGGACTGCTTGACTTAGGGATGAAGCAACGACTTCTAGGAAGCTTTTTTAGGCTTGTACACAGAGAAGCGGCCCAACGGCGGTTAGAGATACTGTCAATTTTCCTCTTATACTGGATTGCTTGTGGTCCAAGCAACGTCTCCTGGTGATTTGGGCATGACTTAGGTGACTTTGGGCTTGTGGCGGAAGGACCCATCTCGAGGCCGTCGTCAGTTCATTCGCCAAGTTAGGTTGAGTTTCCTCCAATGGGCTCCTCATGGACTCCAATTAAGACTTCTAGTAGACTTCCCTTCCTGTAGGCTTTGTCTGATAGGTGAAAACCTCCTTGATCTTCTCAAATATGCTACATTGATACTCCATAATTATCCAAGGTTCGATCCAAATTATCCTAGATTGTAGTTTGCCTTGAAAAGCATAGAAAGATACCAAACAAGCATAATAAAAGATACAACAACACAATTTATGTCTAATAATAGATCATTAATCAAATAGTTATGACATTCATGTGAAGTCAAGTAAAAACTCCTAAAGATGCATTGATTGAAGGGTTAATACCTTATTTTGGTCTGAATTATGACCATATAATCAACTTTGGTCTGTGGTTTCATAAATTAACATCCTGACCTCAACTATATAACATATAGACTCAATTGGCCCGACATAGAGTTTGACCGTCAATTTGGATGGTCAACACCATTGACCGTTTCTCAACACGCCAAGTCATTGCCTCGCCAACCTAAAAATCATTAAAAATTTCAATTTATTTTTCTAATTTTTATTATTTATTATCAAATTAACCAAAAATAAATTATAAAAAACACAAATAAATTTATTATATTATTTTTTGGGTAATTTGAAATGATAAATTTTATAAATTAACCAAAAATTATCAAATTATTTTATATTTTTAAAATTATCCAAAAATAAAATATATAATTTATATCATATTTTTAAATTTTAT